ATGGACATCACCAGATGGTCAACACCGAAATCAGATTGATTATATTCTTTGCAGCCAAAGATGGAGAAACTCTATACAGTCAACAAAAACAAGACCGGGAGCTGACTGTGGCTCAGATCATGAACTCCTTATTGCCAAATTCAGAGTTAAATTGAGGAAAGTAGGGAAAACCACTAGACCTTTCAGGTATGTCCTAAATCAAATCACTTACAATTATACAGTGGAAGTGACAAATAGATTCAAGGAATTAGATCTGATAGACAGTGTCTGAAGAACTATGAACAGAGGTTTGTGACATTGTACAGGAGGCAGTGATCAAGACCATCCCAAGAAAAAGAAATGCAAGAAAGCAAAATGGTTGTATGAGGAGGCCTTACAAATAGCCGAGAAAAGAAGAGAAGCTAAAGGCAAAGGAGCAAAGGAAAGATATAAATGAATGTAGATTTCCAAAGAATAGCAAGGACAGATAAGAAAGCCTTCCTCAGTGATCAATGCAAAGAAATAGAGGAAAACAATAGAATGGGAAAGACTAGAGATCTCTTCAAGAAAATCAGAGATACCAAGGGAACATTTCATGCAAAGATGGGCACAATAAAGGACAGAAATGGTATGGACCTAACAGAAGCAGAAGATATGAAGAAGAGGTGGCAAGAATACACAGAAGAACTGTACAAAAAAGATCTTCATGACCCAGATAACCATGATGGTGTGATCACTGCACTAGAGCTAGACATCCTGGAATGTGAAGTCAAGTGGGCCTTAGGAAGTATCACTATGAACAAAGCTAGTGGAGGTGATGGAATTCCAGTTGAGCTATTTCAAATCCTAAAAGATGATGTTGTGAAAGTGCTGCTCTCAATATGTTAGCAAATTTGGAAAACTCAGCAGTGGCCACAGGACTGAAAAGGTCAGTTTTCATTCCAGTCCCAAAGAAGGGCAGTGCCAAAGAATGTTCAAACTGTTGCACACTTGCACTCATCTCACATGATAGCAAAGTAATGCTCAAAGTTCTCCAAGCCACGCTCAACAATATGTGAAACATGAACTTCCAGATGTCCAAGCTGGATTTAGAAAAGGCAGAGGAACCAGAGATCAGATTGGCAACATCTGTTGGATCATAGAAAAAGCAAGAAAGTTCCAGAAAGACTTCTACTTCTGCTTTATTGACTATGCCAAAGCCTTTGATTGTGTGGATCACAACAAATTGTGGAAAATTCTTCAAGAGATGGGAATACCAGACCACCTTACCTGCCTCCTGAGAAATCTGTTTGCAGGTCCAGAAGCAACAGTTAGAACTGGACATGGAACAATAGACTGGCTCCAAATCGGGAAAGGAGTATGTCAAGGCTGTATATTGTCACCCTTGTTATTTAACTCATGTGCAGAGTATATCATGCAAAATGCCAGGCTGGATGAAGCACAAGCTGGAATCAAGACTGCCAGGAGAAATATCAATAACCTCAGATGTGCAGATGACACTGACGTTATGGCAGAAAGTGAAGAAGAACCAAAGAAATTCTTGATGAAAATGAAAGAGGAGAGTGAAAAAGTTGGCCTAAAACTCAACATTCAGAAAACTAAGATCATGGCATCTGGTCCCATCACTTCATGGCGAATAGATGGGGAAACAATGGAAACAGTGACAGACTTTCTTTTCTTGGGCTGCAAAATCACTGCAGATGGTGATTGCAGCCATGAAATTAAAAGACACTCCTTGGAAGAAAAGTTATGACCAACCTAGACAACATATTAAAAAGCAGAGACATTACTTTGCCCACAAAGGTCCATCTAGTCAAAGCTATGATTTCTCCAGTAGTCATGTGTGATGTGAGAGTTGGACTATAAAGAAAGCTGAGCACTGAAGAATTGATGCTTTTGAACTGTGGTGTTGGAGAAGACTCTTGAGAGTCCCTTGGACTGCAAGGAGATCCAACCAGTCTGTCCTAAAGGAAATCAGTCTTGAATATTCATTGGAAGAACTGATGCTAAAGCTGAAACTCCAATACTTTGGCCACCTGATGTGAAGAACTGACTGATTGGAAAAGACCCTGATGCTGGGAAAGATTGAAGGCGGGAGGAGAAGGGGACGACAGAGGTTGGATGGCATCACTGAATTGGTGGACAGGAGTTTGAGCAAACTCCGGGAGTTGGTGATGCACAGGGAAGCCTGATGTGCTGCAGTCCATGGGGTCGCAAACAGTCGGACATGACTGAGCGACTGAACTGTCTGACTGAGTTGGGGAGAGAAGGGCCCTGGAAGGATCAGGGCCGGAAGGTTAACTGAGGCCAGACTAACTGTGTTCAGGGATTCCTGTAGGGGCCCAGGGGCCCAGGGCTGGCAGCTGTGACAGACTAGACCAGAGACCTGGAGGCCCAGAGGAGTCTGCAGTGGCCAGGAGCTCATGGAGGCCTGGGGCCACCCGGCTCTGATTCTGTCCCCTGATGGGGGCCCCTCTGCTGCCTGGGCCTCAGGGCTCGCGTGTGGTCCAGGCAGGCCCCTCCATTGGTCCAGGGTACCAGTCCACCGTTCTCTTCCACGGATCTCCGCTCTGGGGTGGGGCGGGACAGGGCAGGGAGGCCACCTGCAGGAGAGGGCAGCCAGGAGCCACTTGATGACAGCCGCAGCCCCCTCTTCTCTGGGTGCTCCCCGAAATCTTGAAATAAATCAGGCAGAATCAAAATCAGACTCTCTTCATCAGGAGAAATTACTCATTTCAAATATTTGCAGCCGCTTGAACTGAAATTTAGCGAGATGAGGACTTACTTAGATGAACAATCTGGGGCCTTTTCAAAGACAGTTTTTACTCAGCAGTTTTTCTGATTCCAGAGCCCCGTTCCCATCAGGAGTTACCCTCCTGCCTCCTCTCCCGGGCTCCCTCCTTGCACCCCCAATCCTGGCCTGTTTCTCCTCCTTTTCAGATCTTTTCTCCCCCTTGATTTCATTTGCTAAGTCTGCAAATATTCTCTGAGCGCCTTCTCCTGCCTGGCTCCAAGCTTGGCCTGAGGACCCAAGGTGACAGGCTGGTCCAGCCCCCAACCCCAGGGAGCAGTTGGGTCTTCTTGGCTCACGACTGGCCCTACCCACAGGCAGGGTATCCACCCGTTATTTGTCCTGTGTGGCACTTCTTAATGTTTGGAGAACATTCTTTTCCACGCTTTTTAAAAAGAAAGCTTATATAACCACCTCTCTGGAGGCCCTTTGGAGGCTGGGAGAAAATCTGGAGAATTCCGCCCCCTCCCCTGACCCCTTCCTCCTCCACGTCAGCCCGTGCCCTTCGGGATGGGTGGTGTTTGATGAAAGCCAGGCCTGAGCTCGACCACCCTCGGCAGTCGGAGCAGCCCAGGAAGTGGACAGCGTGCTGGGTGCCCCCACCGGAGGAGGGGTGGGATCAGAAAGCAGGAAGGAGACTGAGGCCATTCTTGGAAAGAAGCTTCCGGGCTGCTTGTGGATGCTTAACATACCTCCTGGCTCCCAGGGCCCTGGGCCGTCGTGTCGGCTCTGCCAGCTGGTGGGGATGTGGGGTGGGCTGTGCCAGTCCCTGCTTCCTTGTTCAGATGAGAAGCGTGTGTGGAATAGGAGGGGGCTTCCCTGGGGTTCAGTGGTGAAGAATCCATCTGCCAAGGCAGGAGACATGGGTTCGATCCCTGGGTTGGGAAGATCTCCTAGAGGAGGAAATGGCAAGCCGCTCCAGTGTTCTTTCCTGAGAAATCCCACGGACCGAGGAGCCTGGCGGGCTACTGTCCATGGGGGTGCAAAAGATTTGGACATAACTTAGCAACTAGACAACAACAAAAACAAAAAGGGCTGTGCACAGCATGCTGAACACGTACAGCCAGGAGTGTGTGTGAAATAGGAGGGAGGGGGAGGAGGAGAAGGGGGGGAGGGAGAAGGGTGAGGACGAGGAGGGAGAGGAGGAAGGACAGAGGGAGAGTGGTTTGGAAGGTGAGGGCGTGAATTGGGCTGGAAGGATAAACCCCGCTTGTGAGAACACACGAGGCCTGAGTGGGAGCCTCTGGGGGATCCTGGGGTGTAAGGTGGATGCTCTGTGAAAACGTGGGCGTTTGTGCCGCGAGGACCCCAGGGTCCTTGCCACTGCAGAGTTTCACCCCCTTCAGTCCCTTCCTTTCCCCCTCTCGGCCACGAGGGGCGACTTTGAGTTCCTGCGACACAGAGGGCTCATGTTGGCCTCAGGGCCTTTGGACGCACTGTCTCCGCTCCTTGAACGCTCTCTGCTGACCTGTTCCTGGGTCTCAGCCTGGATGTCGCGGGGGCCCGGAGGAGCTTCTGCCGTTCGACCAGCAGCTGGTTAAGCTGGGCTGAAGCCTGGGAGTGTGCAGACGGGACTGGAGCCAGACCTGGAGGGGACCTGGAGGTGGGGGTGGGGGATGGAGGAGTGAGGAGAGGACCTGGGCCAGAGCCCTAAGGAGCAGACCGTTAGGGGACCCTCAGAGGAGGAGCGGCTTATAAAGGAGCAGCAGAACGTGGAAGCCAAAGTTGTTTTTTTTCCCCTTGGCTGCACCACACAGGGATCAAACCCACACCCCCCACAGCGAAAGCACAGAGCCCTAACCACTGGGCCATCAGGGAAGTCCCGGCAAAGCTTTTACAGGTCAGGAAATCCCTCTCCCACATGCTTACAGAGGGTAAGGGCATAGAGTGTTGCCACTAGCGTCCAGAGACCCCCTTCCCCCCTGCACTGCCCCCCACCACCGTGTGTCCCTTACTGTTCACCCCTGTCTCCCCTAGAGGTAACCCCGTCCTAACTTTTGGAGGAATCCCTCCCCTGCCTTCCTCTAGAGTTTCACGTGTCTCTGCCCTGGGATTTAGGCTGGCCCGGCTGTGATGAGGAAGTAGGCTCCGTGCGCTTCCTCATCGTGCGATGAGCCCAACCCATGCCACCCCCACCCCCCGCCCCAGGAGACGGAGGGGGCACAACGTAGAAGTGAGGTATTGCATTTCCTGATGATGGCTCACTGGTTAAATTCCAGGAACCGATTTTATGGTGCTGACGGAGGGAGCCCTGGTTGCTTCGACACAGCCTCCTGGGGGGTCCACCGCGTAAGTGCCTGGTGCTCCCCGGAGCACAGGGGGCAGAGTGGGGAGCGGGTCAGGCCAGACGCCTGCTCTCACGGAGTTCACGGCCCTCCTCCCTCCTCTGTCCCACGAATCTGCCCTGAGTTCCTGCTCTATGTCCGGCATGATGCTGGGGTGCTGGGGGTTAGCAGGGAGGCGGACAGATGGGCACCAGTGCCCCCCACCCCCAGCAATGGGGGAGACCGACCTTGACCACATCATTCCCCAAGTAAGTAAATGAGACTGATGAGCCCCAGGTCAGGGGCTCAGATGTCGGTCACTTATGGACCCAGCTTGCTTTCAAAGGATTAGATTTGCTTGTGAAGCATGTGTGTGCTCAGTTGCATTTGCCACTCCACGGACTGTAGCTCACCAGGCTCCTCCATCCATGGGATTCTCCAGGCAAGAATACTGGAGTGGGTTGCTATTTCCTTCTCTAGGGGATCTTCCTAACCCAGGGATCGAACCTGCGTCTCCTGCACTGGCAGGCTGATTCTTTACCACTGAACCACCTGGGAAGCTCCTGCACCGTGCCTTGTAAACGCCCCGACTATTGCTGCTTTAATCTCTTCTTTTAGGGTCTCGTCCCTGCGTTGAACCCCAAGTCACACCCCAGGTTGGCCTCTTGCTCAGTCTGAAGGCAGGGAGGCCCACGGTCTTTGTAGCTGGTCCAGGATTCTGGGAAGTGGGCGTCTCTCCCTCCCGTGGCCGGGAGGACAAAGGGCAGGACGAATCTGCCCAGCGATGCCCTTGGGAACTCTCTGAAGTCAGCGGTTCAACTGCGACTCAACTTGAAATGCCATATGAATTTTTGGGTCCCTTTGATCTGAAACCAGGGGTTTCCCACCCAGGCAGAGGAGGATGTAGCGGCTTAAAACAAAAAGAAATGCCTTTTTAGGCAAAAGTCTGTAATGGGGATGAGGTTCGTGGTGGGAATCCAGGGCGGCCACAGCGGGAGGGTCGCCAGGCCTATGCTGGGCTCGGTCACTGTGACATGGATGGAGGGATTGCTCTGTTGCCCTTCCCGTCGGGGGGCCACTGCAACATAAAAGGGCCTTTTCTGACCCTTTTTACTCTCTGATGAGGGCAGAGTGCCAGGATGGGGGTGGGTGGCATGGGGTTTTCTTTTCTTGTCTCCTCATTGTCTTCAAAAAAGAAAAATTGACACCACTCCACCCTGCCCCCAACACGATTTTCATGGCTGTTCACACTCTGGGCCCTACTGCTCCTTCCTGCGGGGGCTGGCATAGAGCAGGAGTCTCTCTGCTAGGTCTCTGTCATGCTGCATGCTGCAGGCTGGACATTGGCCTAAGGCCTGGGGAGCCACGGATGGATCTTTAGGGAGGGTATGGTATACGGACATAAGGGGATTAGAGTTGCCACATAAAATACAGGACACCCAGTTAAATTTAAATTTCTGGTAAATAGTCATTTTTCAGGGTGGGTATGTCCTCAATATTGCACGGGACAGACTTGAGTTAAGATTTCATACGCTGTTTATCTGAAATCTCAGATGTAACAAAGCATCCTATATTTTTATTTGCTAAATCTGGCAATCCCAAATGGAACAAATATTTCTCCAGGCCCAGGGTGTGAGCTGCAGACGGCCAAGAAGGGGAGGGGGAGGAGGCCCCAGCCCACCATGGGATTCCAGAATCTCCTGGGGGTTGCTTCACCCCTGTCCTTGACTTCAGGAGCTTTTTCCTGAAACTGAGGGCAGATGGGAAGGGCCACAGAGGTGCGGGCATTGCTGGGTGCAAGGTTGGGGGGCAGGGTGGAGGCATACAGCAGTTTTCACAGCTTGTTAAACTGTGGTTCCCAGACTGCCTTGGCGGTCCAGCGGTTAAGACTCTGTGCTTCTGATGCAGGCGGCATGGGTTTGACCCCCGGTCAGGCACGTTTACACGGTGGTTCCCACAGAGATGCCAGTGCTGCTTGTCACTAGTGACAGGATGGGAACACGCAGTGAGCCCTTGTCCTCATCCGCCCTCTGGGGCCCCACGTCTCTGTTGAGGGTGCAGAGGCTCCAGGGGCCCTGAGCGGCCCCTTCACTCAACTCCAAGTGGCAGGATGGGGACTGGAGCCCACCGGGGTCTGTCTGACTCCAGGACTTGCCTCTCAATTCCAAGATTCATTGCCCTTCCCAGCCTTGGGGTCCCCTCTCTGACCCCTGACCCCTTGCTGGCCTGGCCAAGCCTCTGCTTGCTTTTCACAACTTGCCTGCCCTGGACCTGGGGCTCTGTCTCCTGTATCCTGGCCTCCAGGTGGGGTCTCCTTGAGAGCAGTGCCTTTTGTTCCCAAATGTCAGAAAGGAGGTCTCCCTTGATCCCACCGCTCCACAGCCCCTCAGACCCAATGACTCCAATGGCCAGACGGAGGGCTCTCACCAGAACTGTACCATGCTGGCACCGGGCCTCCACGCCCAGCCTCTAGAACTGTGAGACATCCACGCCTGCTGTCGAAGCCCCCCCGGGCTATGGAGTTTCGTACAGCAGCCCAAGCTAAGACAGGAGGGCAGTGGTCGGGCACAGCCGGCAGGGCTTGGAGATAGCACACAGCTCCGTGTGTTTAAGGAACCACAGGTCATGGTGAGCTGAAGGGCAGTTGGGAACATGGAAGAGGTGCAGGAGAGTGGGCTCTAGCTGGGAGGCCAGGGGCCTTGAGTAACATTCAGATTTGCTGCTATGTAGGAACACCCTTTCTTCCGATTTTAGATGATATAATGAAAACATTCTGTGCCTAAATGGGAATTTACTTTCTTTCCTGAGATGGTTTCTAGAGTCAAAGGCTGCTCATTGTTGTGAGCTCCCTGTTGGGTAGGACCGTATATCCTACCTTATATCCTTAGAAATGCCTTTAGCCACAGGTGTTAGACAAACTCCCAGACCAATGAAAGTTTACCTGAAAAGAAGACCAGGGAAGGCGCTTACAAGGCTTATTCCACCTTAGGGTCAGGGTCAGGGCCCGGGTTGCTTCTCTGTGACTCTCTTGGCGCATCTTTCATGGTGACACGATGACTGCTCAGCTCCAGGTACTGCCCTCATGCTGACAAGATGGCTGCCAGAGCTCCAGCATCCCTGTCTTCACCGTCCACACCCCGAAGTGGGAAGCGTGAGGATGTGTGTGACGGAAGGTACAGTGAGGGTGGGGGGACAGTGCTCTCCTCCTGTGCGTCTGCCCTTTCATCAGGGAGGGAGGGAGTCCCCCCTGAGACCCCGGAAGCCTTTGCTTCATATGCCATAGTCCCATGGCCTCTTCCGTCTGCAAGGGAGGCTGGGAAAGTAAGCACATGACTTTTACAGCCCCTGTGATGGGAGGCAATTGGGGGAATCGCTGGCAGGAGAGTTCACCTTCGATGTCTGTTAGTTTCCCTTTTTCCAGGATGTGACTATTCACACTTTTGTGTGTGTGTTAGTCACTCAGTCGTGTCTGACTCTTTGTGACCCTATGTACTGTAGCCCATGAAATTCTCCAGGCAAGAATACTGGAGTGGGTTGCCATTCCCATCTCCAGAGGAGCTTCCTGACCCAAGGATTGAACCCGGGTCTCCTGCACTGCAGGCAGATTCTCCACCACCTCAACCTCCAGGGAAGCCCTTTCGGGTCAGCCCCAAATAGTCACCCTTTCGGGTCAACCCTAAATATTGCCTTTTCTGTGGAGCCAACTTTCCTTGGCAACTAGTTAAGCCTTCCTCTGCCCCTCACCTCTAGGACACCTAGAATCTTGCCTCAGGAGTCCTTTCCTTTCAACATATGATGTTCCTGAAGAAAACTCTTGGCAGGTGAATGTGTGAATATGATACACACTTGAGTGATATAACGGGGTTTCTGTTCCCCTAAAGCAGCAGTCTCCTGGTGGCTCAGACAGTAAAGCGTCTGCCTACAATGCAGGTAGACCCAGGTTCGATCCCTGGGTTGGGAAGATCCTCTGGAGAAGGAAGTGGCCACCCACTCCAGCACTCTTGCCTGGAAAATCCCATGGACGGAGGGGCGTGGTAGTCTACAGTCCATGGGGTCCCAAAGAGTTGGACACAACTGAGCGACTTCAGTTTCAGTTTCTAAGCAGCAAAAGACAACTGTGTCTTTTTATTCACAGTTGTCAAGGTGCTACAGGTTCAGCAGTTTGTGTGTATATCTGGGGCGCGGCCAAAGGACGATCAGCGTCCATGGTTCCTGGTGTGGCTCTGGATGTCTGCCCTTGGTCATGTTACACCAACCAAGCTCACCCTTCCTCCCTTTCTGCTCATGGTTCTGCTCGTGCATTTCCCAACTCATTTTTATAAAATAAGAGCAAATGCAACAAAATGTTTTGACAGTTCTCACTAATAACCGTTGCAGTCAGAGATGGGAGGAGGACCCACACACAGGGAACAGCTGTCTGTGGGTCTCGTGTGGCAGGAAGCGCTTTGCTGACTCTACTTCTTAGCTCCCCACTCCAACCCAGCGAGGCCGAGACCACCCGGTCCCTGTTCCACCAGCCAAGAGACTGAGACTCTGAGAGGTTGAGCCGGAGTGCCCGAGGCCCCCAGGTCCGGGGCCCCATGTGAAGGATCCTCATTGTTGCTTGTGTCAAGGATGGTCACGCCAAGCGACCCATCTGTGTCTCCCGCCCCGGCTCCTTCGCTCTGTCTCTGTCCAACGGGCCGAGACTTGAAGTGACGGGGGTCCCCTCCGGGCTGAACACTGACTTCCCTGTTGTGTCTTCCCCTGTCTCGGTGACCGAGAAAGCCCCGGGGGAGCTACGAGGTGTTAGCGAAAAAAAACAACTTCTCTTGTGCGGAGGCACCGAGATTGAGGGTTGGGGGTTGTTTGTTCCAGCTGAGCCTGACTCTCCCACCTCCGAGGCCCCCGCCCTCCACGTATGAGAGGGTGGCAGGACACTGCTCCCTAGCCCTGCACCATGAGCACCCCCGGGAGGGCTCGAGCGTTGCTTCCTGGAACAGTCTGAGCGAGGCCGGGCTGCACAGCTGTACAGAAGACCCAGTTCTCTCAGCTGTGGCCTCGTCTCCACGCCAGGACAGCAGGGCCCTCAGCTCTGGGCTGGCACAGGGCAGCCTGCCTTCTCTGCTGGGCCTTTCTGAACCTGGCAGGGCCATGCAGAGCACAGCTGGGGTCCTTCCTGCGTGCGCCCCTCCGGAGCTAGGCGCTTCCACGAGAACCCCAGCTGCGGCTGGCAGGGTGGAGAGGCGTCCGTGCCACGCTCGCCCAGGTGCTTCTTCCAGTGCCAGGAGCCAGGCATCACCCCCTCCGCCAGCGAAGGGCCCGCTGGCAGGAGACAGTCTGCGGGGAGTCTGTGGCTCTGGGCCCAGCCAGCCTCACCCCTGCTCACCCCCTCCTCCCGCCCTCGCTCCCCGCCAACTGTGCCCACCGCCTGGTGCCGTCTTCTGTCTTGGAACCCTGGCTCGAGCCGTCCCCTTTGCCTGGAATGCGTTTCCTGCCTTATGTGCCTGTAAGCACTTCATTCCTGCCCCTACTCATCCCTCCTTTTTTCTCCCATCGCACCCCACTCACCCCTACGGCTCTGACATGACGCTGGTCACTAGGCTTTGCAGCCCATGGTCAGCTTCTCCGTCTGCCCTAGGAGACCGTGGCCCTCGAGGGCAGGGAACGTGCTACTCCTGGGTGTCCTCTCAACCCTGCGTGGTGTGGGTGAATGCGTGCTGCCACGCCCTGGGGAGCTACACTGGTTATTGAGCATCTGCCACGCGCTGGGCCTGTCATAATGCGGTGCTGGGATCTGCGTGGGACACCATCAGCCCAGGTGATCATCACGCGTGCTTAGAAGAACTGTTACTTCTTGTCCCTGTTTGAGCCCAGCAAAGGCCTGGGTGCAGATGGTTTGCTGGGAAGGGCTCCCAGGGGACTGTGTGAAGGGCGGAGAGGGAGACAGAGAAGCAGAGGCCCTTGCGATGCGGGGTGGTCTGCGTGCCAGAAACCCCACCCAAAGCAGCTGCTGGACCCTGAATCTCCCCCAAGCTTTCGTGCTACTCATGTGGTCCCCGTCTCACCACAAACCCTACCCACTCCTTCATCCTGTCCCTGCTTGCCCCGCAAGGAGCCGGCAAACAGGCTGCTTCCAGCTCTGTACCCGCAAAGAAGTGTCTGACCAGAAGCAAGTTTGGAGGGGGGGTGGCTCCAGCTATTTCCCCTGCAGAAATAGGTTTTCTTTTTTCTGAATATTGGCAGGGTCCAGGGCTCGACAACGGGGCCCACGTTCCTGCATTGCCAGTCTTTTCCCTGCCCAGGTAGTGAAATTTTAAACAGGCACATTCCTGCTGCCCAATTTTCATTAATTGGATCTAAAAGGGTTTCTATTTTCTCCCCAAACGTTGATTGATCCAGCCGAGGTAAACAGCTCCGCCAGAACTGAGCGGGGAGTGAGGCTGCTGAAGGAGACGGGATAACTGATGTTACTTGACATTTACTCAGAGAGAGGAAGGGAGGGAGGTGAGTCACACGCAGAGTCTCAGCCCACAGGTTTTGTAGAAACGAGCTGCTGCGAGGCAGGCAGGAGCAGGAGGGCTTCGAGAAGCTTTAGTTCCCCCAACTTTACAGGCTTTGGGGAGCCCTGGGGTTTCTCTGCCGTGGGAGGAGAGGTCTCCGTGTCCTTAGATGGCTGTGCATTTAGCTCCGGAGGTGGGACCTCTGGGGACACCAGCAAGGCTGAGCTGTTGACTTTCAGTTTGTGATGAGGAGAGATGAGAATATACGCCTTTCTCTGCAGACATCCTCTCTGGGTGAGGCGGGGAGGGTTCAGTGGGGTAGCAGGGAGACAGGCAGGAAGGGCTGGGTGCATGGAAACATGTACACTAACATGTGTGAAATAGATAGCCAGTGGGAACTGTGTGACTCAGGGAACTCAAATGGAGGCTCTGTGACCACCTAGAGGGATGGTATGGGGTGGGAAGAGGGAAGAAGCCTCAAGAAGGAGGGGACATATGTACACCTATGACTGAAGGCTGATTCATGTTGATGTATGGCAGAAACCAGCACAATATTGTAGTTATCCTTCAATCTAAACTAAATAAATTTAAGAAAAGAGAAAAAACTCTGCCAAGCAATCATTGCTTCTGATTGCCTCAGTTTTCCGACTTCGTGTTGCACCTGCTGGAGCTTGCAGGAGGCGTTACTATGGTTCAGAAGCCACCACTGAAGGAGATGATAACAAGTGAGCAGGTCTGGCTCTCTGCACCAGGATGGAGAAGGGAAACCAGGCAAAGCTCACTGTGGCCTCCAACCACGATCACCCACTATGTGTGGAGCAGTCGTTGCTTTCCTTGAGGGTAAACTGAAGGGCTGGCTGAGCACATGTATTGAGCCAGCCTCTGCTGGTTGCAGGGGCTCTGCCTGCCCAGCCTCCCTGTCCAGGCTTGCTCGCTCTCATAGTCTCCTGTCAATCTTGCTGCCTCCTGGAGCTGTGACTGCCTTGCTCTGTAGACCTGCCACCGTGTAGATCTCCGCGCTCCCACCTCCTGCCCTTTAGAGCTGACTGTGTTTCCTCTTGGGCTTCCTCAGTGGCTCAGCAGTGAAGAGTCTGCCTGCAGTGCAGGAGCCGCAGGAGATGTGTGTTCGATCCCTGGGTTGGGAAGATCCCCTGGAGAAGGAAATGGCAACCCACTCCAGTATTCTTGCCTGGAGAATTCCATGGACAGAGGAGCCTGGCAGGCTACAGTCCATGGGGTCGCAAAGAGTCAAAAACGACTGAAGCGACTTAGCATGCACACACTCACATATTTCCTCTTCCTCCGGATGTCTGTCCTGTCTCCTTCTGCCTGGAAGATTTTCCTTCTGTTGGGTACCAATGGCCTTGATTTTCTTGACTACCACATCCCAATCTAAGCCCTGCTGCTGCTGCTGCTAAGTCACTTCAGTCGTGTCCGACTCTGTGCGACCCCATAGATGGAAGCCCACCAGGCTCCCCGGTCCCTGAGATTCTCCAGGCAAGAATACTGGAGTGGGTTGCCATTTCCTTCCCCGATGCATGAAAGTGAAAAGTGAAAGGGAAGTCGCTCAGTCATGTCCGACTCTTAGAGACCCCATGGACTGCAGCCTACCAGGCTCCTCCATCCATGGGATTTTCCAGGCAAGAGTAATGGAGTGGGGTGCCATTGCCTTCTCCGAACCCCCTCCTAAACCTGGTCCTTCTCTTCAATCCCATCCCCGTGGGACCCCTCCAGCCCAGAAACCCCTTGAGTCAGACCTGGCTTTCATGCTCACCTTCTCCTTCCCCATGAACAGTCAGACATCAAGTCATAACCAAATCAGTCACTTACCGAGTCATCCTGGCTCTGCATCCTCAGCTTCTCTCAGACCCGTCCACTCATCTCCTTCCCCACTGCTGCTGAACTAGTCCAGGTGGCCATCATCTCAGCCCCTGGCTGGTTTCTCAGCCTCTGCGCTGGCCCTTGTACTCTTCTCCACTCAGCAGTCCCGAGTGTCCTTTCATTGCCTCTAACCCTCCAGGCTGGGAAGTATCTCCCATGGCTTCTGGCTTCCATTGTTGCTGTGGAGGAGTTGGCTGTCAGTCTAACTAGGGAGCGGTTGAAAGTGAATCTGATTTTTTAATTTTTTTAATTTAAATCTCTGACTGCTGTTAGGTATCTTATCTCCTTACCTTTGGCTTTCTGCAGGTTAGCCATGCTGGACTGAGGTGTGGATTTTTTAAAAAAATTAATTAATTTGGCTGTACCAGATCTTGGTTGTGGCATGTGAACTCTTAGCTGTGGCATGTGGGATCTAGTTCCTTGACCAGAGATTGAATCCAGGCCCTCTGCATTGGGAGTGCAGAGTCCTAGCCACTGGACCACTAGGGAAGTCCTGAGGTGGGAATTTTTTAAAATTTGTCTTTCCTGGGACTCTTTGGGTGTCTTGATGCTGCTAATTATTTCTGGAAAATTATCAGCCTTTATCTCTTAAACATTGCCTTTGCCCAACTCTCTTCTTCTATTTTTCTTTTAAACTCCATCTTTTCAATCTTCTCTGTCTCTTACTCTCTCTTTTCCCCTATCTTTGGGTCTCTCTGCAACACATTCAGGATTCTTTCTGTTTATTTACCTTCCTTTGACCCAGTTCTCGCTTTGTCTTCATTTAACCTGTTCTTACACCCATTCACTGAGTGTTTTTTTACCTTTTGCTATTTTGAAATATATCATACATGCATAAAACACATAAATTATAAACATACAGCTTTGTGGAAGAGTATGGGACCATCACCAAAAGGTCAAGAAGTAAAGCCTCAGATTTTTTAGATTTCAGTTATTGTAATGTTCATTTTTAGAACTTCTATTTGGTAAGTTTGCTATGTCACTTACAGTTTTATGTTCTCTGTTGATGTTTCTTGTGTTTTTATTTTCAAAAACATAGTAAACATAGTTGTTTCATGCTAACTCCAATATCTGAAATCTTTACAGGTATGTTTCTATTGTTCTTTTTTTTTTTCTTGTGATGTCTTACTTTGTTGTGTGCCAGTTTTCTTTGTACATTTGGTCACAGTATTTGAAAACTTGAGTGCAAGGAAATCCAAGGCATGGAATGAAGTTACCTTCTTCCAGAGAGGATTTTGGCTGCTTCTGCCATGCACTTGTAATCCCTGTCTGGACCAAGCTTCACCCAAGGTTGAGGTTCCCTGGAAGACCTGAGTCATTCAAACCCAGCCATAGTCCCTTAGAAGTGCTGGTATGGTTCTGGTCACTCTCACCCTGAGGATGTAGCCCTTGGGGTCCCAGCTAATTGTTGGGAGGATCTCTGGTTAGACTGTAGGTTCTGGGCTTTTGTTCCTATCCACCTAGTTCTTATGGAGTACGTCAAGACTGTATATTGTCACTGTGCTTATTTAGCTTATATGCAGAGTACATCGTGAGAAACGCTGGGCTGGATGAAGCACAAGCTGGAATCAAGATTGCCAGGAGTAATATCAGTAACCTCAGATATGCAGATGACACCACCCTTATGGCAGAAAGTGAAGAAGAAGTAAAAAGCCTCTTGATGAAAGTGAAAGAGGAGATTGAAAAAGTTGGCTTAAAGCTCACCATTCAGAAAACTAAGATCATGGCATCTGGTCCCATCACTTCACAGCAAATAGATGGAGAAACAGTGGCAGACTTTATTTTTTGGGGCTCCAAAATCACTGCAGATGGTGAAATGACTGCAGCCATGAAATTAAGACACTTACTCTTTGGAAGGAGAGTTATGACCACCCTAACAGCATATTAAAAAGCAGAGACATTACTTTGCCAACAA